CGTTGAGCTCCGTCGAGTTCCGTCGGAGCGTCAACCGTAGCAGCAGCCACCGTGAGCCGAACCGCAGCAAGCCGCCACCTCCACCTTCTCAGCGATTCTGACGAGCCCAAGCGAGAGCGACCGAGTTCACCGAGCCTTCGTTCGAGCCTCTTTCGAACCCTACCATTGTTCTTTTATTCGAGCGGTAAAACCCTAAGCCTTGACCTTCTTGGACTGTTATTATGAATTCGATTAATTACGAAAGAATTATTAATGTGTTTAAAGTAGATAATTGAACCTCTTACGCTTGCTTAAGTCGAGTTATTGTTAAGTTATTGTTGAGTTGGAATTGGTCGGAGCCTTGTCGGGCTTCCGAAAGTATGGATTGAGTTGTTAAATTATGTGTTTTAATCATGTTTTGTTATGTGATAATCGTGCCTTAGTATGTGATAAACGTGCCTAAAATCGATGCTTTAAGTTACTTTCGAAATATTATGGAGTTCGGAAACAAGTGTCATGATCGCATGTGAATTGTTGTTTTTATTTGTCTGTTCGGAAGAAGTTTAGGCCCCTGAGACTGTGTTTTCGGCTTTCGAGTTCATCATAAAATATGTAGTTCGTTCAGTTGTGTTTACGTAAGCTTTGGAATCGTGCAATTTCTGGACAACATTTGAGCCTTGAATGTTTGTTGGTTTCGGACCATGTATATGACCTTATTTGCTTTTGAGTGCTAAATAAAAGTTGTAGTACCATGTCTTAGGAGCAATATGAGACTTGAATCATGTTAATGAGATTTGTATCTTGAAAGATATGCTTGTTTTAAAAATGCAGCGCATGCCAAGTTTTGTCAAGTGTTAAGTATATTTGTTTAAATGGTTCTTAAGTCTATTAAGCATGCTTATGTGACATGTATGAGATGTAAAGCATCGAGTGAGATCATGATGAACCGTAGATGATTAAAAGGGTGTCCTTAAGTAAGCAAGCTAAGAGTTCAATTATTCAAAGATTTAAGTAAGAATGTTTTCAAAAGAATGCAAGCAAGGCGAAGCCAAGCGAGCAAGTTTCCAAAGCATATGTATTGTTATAAGTATAAGTATAAGTATAAGAATAAGTTCCATGTTATGACACTAAGACATGATGTAACACCCCGCCTTATCGTAAAATCAGAGTGCGAAAATTTCGCAAAGTTATTTAAAAATAAAACCTTTTACTTTGCGAAAACTGATTCGGGGTGCTACCGTAAAACGTGACTTATTTTGGAAAAACCGTTATCTTAATTTTTAATAAAATCATACGATTACTGAAAGCATAATTTTTCCAAAAGTCCAGTCAAGACATAAGTTCGTCAAAACCATAATCAGCGGAAACGTAAATCGTTATAATATATACATAGTCAAAATATAAAAGTCCTGAAGCCTTCATCATCTCACGCTCCCGGCCCGACATCCTGACCTGAAAAACATGATAAAAGTGGGAAATGAGCACTATGGCACTGTGCTCCGTGGAAACTCATACTAATGTAAACATTGAAAATAATAACAACATCATGATATCGGCATGTACATAACCTCAACATGAAACCGGTAATAACATGAACATGAATCTGATATCGTCACGCCAACGTGACCCTGACCGTTACCTCATCTGCCGGTAAGGACTAATGTCGGACACCATGTGCA